CACCATCACCGCTGCCACCCACCATCACCACCGCTGCCACCCACCATCACCGCTGCCACCCACCATAACCACCGCTGCCACCCACCATCACCACCGCTGCCACCCACCATCACCGCTGCCACCCACCATCACCACCGCTGCCACCCACCATCACCACCGCTGCCACCCACCATAACCACCGCTGCCACCCACCATAACCACCGCTGCCACCCACCATCACCGCCACTGCCACCCACCATCACCACCGCTGCCACCCACCATCACCGCCACTGCCACCCACCATCACCACCGCTGCCACCCACCATAACCACCGCTGCCACCCACCATCACCGCCACTGCCACCCACCATCACCACCGCTGCCACCCACCATCACCACCGCTGCCACCCACCATCACCACCGCTGCCACCCACCATCACCACCGCTGCCACCCACCATCACCGCCACCGCCACCCACCATAACCACCGCTGCCACCCACCATAACCACCGCTGCCACCCACCATAACCACCGCTGCCACCCACCATCACCACCGCTGCCACCCACCATCACCGCCACTGCCACCCACCATCACCACCGCTGCCACCCACCATAACCACCGCTGCCACCCACCATCACCGCCACTGCCACCCATCATCACCACCGCTGCCACCCACCATAACCACCGCTGCCACCCACCATCACCGCCACTGCCACCCACCATCACCACCGCTGCCACCCACCATAACCACCGCTGCCACCCACCATCACCGCCACTGCCGCTGCCACCCACCATAACCACCGCTGCCACCCACCATCACCGCCACTGCCACCCACCATTACTGCCGCTGCCACCCACCATTACTGCCGCTGCCACCCACCATTACTGCCGCTGCCACCCACCATAACCACCGCTGCCACCCACCATCACCGCCACCGCCACCCACCATCACCACTGCTGCCACCCACCATCACCGCCGCTGCCACCCACCATCACCGCCGCTGCCACCCACCATCACCACTGCTGCCACCCACCATCACCGCCGCTGCCACCCACCATCACCGCCGCTGCCACCCACCATCACCACTGCCACCCACCATAACCACCGCTGCCACCCACCATCACCACCGCTGCCACCCACCATAACCACCACTGCCACCCACCATAACCACCGCTGCCACCCACCATCACCACTGCCACCCACCATAACCACCGGTGCCATCCACCATCACCACCGCTGCCACCCACCATCACCACCACTGCCACCCACCATAACCACCGCTGCCACCCACCATAACCACCGCTGCCACCCACCATCACCACCGCTGCCACCCACCATCACCACCGCTGCCACCCACCATCACCACTGCCACCCACCATAACCACCGCTGCCACCCACCATCACCACCGCTGCCACCCACCATAACCACCACTGCCACCCACCATAACCACCGCTGCCACCCACCATCACCACTGCCACCCACCATAACCACCGCTGCCACCCACCGTAACCTACGCTGCCATCCACCATAACTTCCGCTGATATTAGAGACTGATTCTAAACCTGCACACAGAAATAACACCACACGAGACCAGAAGGCATGGCAGGATGTGCAGAATACCCCCGTTGAAAAACAGAGGTGCAACAGGTACTCTGAGAGAGAACTCTATCAACATTCTGCAACCTGTCCTCTCACGAATTACCTCTGAATTTGGCCGTTTGCAAGTATGGCCGAAAATAGACGTAATTTGAAAATAAATTTTGGATAATTTTTTTCCAAAACGTCACGAAAAACTTTAATTGAAAGTTTCCTCTCCTAACCTTTCCGAGCAAGCCGGAGGACTCAAACAGAAAACGGGACAGTACATCGCTTTCGTGAGCCGATTTCATTTCGAATTACGTCCATTTTTGGCCATAGCGCGCATACGAGGGAAAATTTACGTTATTTTTAAGATGACGGGTTACAAACAACACGCCTCCACTACACACTCGGCGCATAACTGGCCGACCACTCACAGTGTTTAAGAGAGAACTTGATAAACACCTCCAAAGGATATCTGATCAACCAGGCTGTGGCTCATACCTCAGGCTGTGAGCGTGCAACAGTCTGGTTGACCAGACAACTAACCAAGAGGCCATCATTATATACTGCACAACAGCCTACCCTAATGTAATAATGCCCTCCCCAGTCTTATATAAAGTATACAAGGCCAGTCTTATATAATGTATACAAGCCCAGCCTTATATAATGTATACAAGCCCAGCCTTATATAATGTATACAAGCCCAGCCTTATATAATGTATACAAGTCGTCTTATATAATGTATACAAGCCCAGTCGTATATAATGTATACAAACCCCAGTCTTATATAATGTATACAAACCCCAGTCTTATATAATATATACAAACCCCAGTCTTATATAATGTATACAAACCCCAGTCTTATATAATATATACAAACCCCAGTCTTATATAATGTATACAAACCCCAGTCTTATATAATGTATACAAACCCCAGTCTTATATAATATATACAAACCCCCAGTCTTATATAACGTATACAAGGCCAGCCTGAAATAGCTTTCCACGGGACCACCAAGATGTTTACTACACACACAAAAGGAATGTGAAATATTTCAAGAGTCTGAGCCGGGGAGGGCGAGGCTTTTAAGTACGCACCTTAAGTCACTAGTACTGGTAGGTAGGTAGGTACCAGTCACGAGTACTTACTGGTAGGTACCAGTCATCCTGAGGGCACGTGGTAGTGTTGATGGTGTATGTGTGTGATGGTATAATGTGTTTAAATACCTGCTGGATTACCAGACGAAGCCTAACGCTTTTCCAATATGTGTGTATGGGGGGGGAGGGGGGATACACTTAAGGGCATAGTGATGGTACTTGTGGTACTACTAATGTGGTGGTGGTATTGATAGTATGTGCAGCATCATGTGCAGATTTAAACATGTAGATTAAAGATATGTAGATTACATGTGCACACACACACACACACACACGCACATACAAGATAGGCTGTTGCTGAGCCTAAGGTCTTGGATAACTTTTAGCTTTTTGTGGCCTCTATTTCGTTTGATTTGTGGCCTCGCTTGTTGTTTGTCTCAATGTGGTTTGTGTCTTCTCATCCTCTTATGTTTGTGTGTTTTGTTTTGTGCATTCTTGTGTTTCGTGTCATTTTCTCTCCTTTATGTTTTTGATGCCATTCTGTCTTTTTTTGTGTGTGTGTGTCTTGCTTCTGTGTTATATTCTGTCTACCTTGTATGTTTTTGATGCAGTTAATTGACCAACAAAGTAATGGCAATAGCGGCAAACTGTAGATAAAAATAACTGTCACTGATAACTGGTCATAATAACAATAATGTCTATAGATAACTGTAAACACAAGTCGACACTGCAGAGGATATCTACGAAACGTAAAATAAAACGGTAAAAATATGACAAGTTGCTTTACGAAATTTGAAATTTATTTGTTATTTCAAATATACGTTACAAAGAGACGTGTGTGTGTGTGTGGGGGGGGGGTCAGTAGTCTTGAAGGCGGGTGGGACAATAGTCTTAGGAGGTGGAAGCCTTAGAAGCCTATTCTACCCCCATTATAAATCCACAGACAAATTATTGTAAAGAAATCTAAATTCAATGACATTTTTAGTTTGATAATTTCATAAGTTCCGATTATAATAATTGACGAAGAACCTGTTTTCCCACTGGTAGTGAGAAAATAATTACTGGAAATCCGAGAATAACTTTATTCAAGAAAAGTTGTTTATTAACAAGCTTTAGGAACGTGAAAACTAACTTAAAGTGACTATGATGAAGTTGGAAGTTTTTGTAAACAACATCAGCGACTTAACATGTGACTTTAGTCTTTTGTATTATGTAATAATGATGGCATATGTAATATTAACATTAAACGCAGTGAGTCCGCCCTTAGCAGGAGACTGTACCCCCTGTGGCGCAGTCACTGTACTGTGCCCCGAGGGCGCAGTCACTGTACTGTGCCCCCTGTGGCGCAGTCACTGTACTGTGCCCCGAGGGCGCAGTCCACTGTACTGTACCCCCGAGGGCGCAGTCCACTGTACTGTACCCCCGAGGGCGCAGTCCACTGTACTGTACCCCCGAGGGCGCAGTCCACTGTACTGTACCCCCGAGGGCGCAGTCCACTGTACTGTACCCCGAGGGCGCAGTCCACTGTACTGTACCCCCGAGGGCGCAGTCCACTGTACTGTACCCCCGAGGGCGCTGTCCACTGTACTGTGCCCCGAGGGTGCAGTCCACTGTACTGTGCCCCGAGGGTGCAGTCACTGTACTGTACCCCGAGGTCGTGACCTCTGTACATATATATATATATATATATATATATATATATATATATATATATATATATATATATATATATATATATATATATATAGCAATACATACTATACATGTGTATTGGAAGTATACAAAGAACTACAGCCGCTATTTGTATACTCCCAGTATTTGGATTCGTGAATGGGCATGTACATTCATACATGTATGATACAATCATACATGATACATGTATATATGTATGAGCATATCTCACGGTGTGTATGAGCATGTCAAGAAGGCCACTGTATACATGCTCGAGAAACATAGCCTAATGAGCCACGGACTGAGAAACAAGTATTAAGGAATAATAATCAAAAAAAGGCACCAAGAGGATGGGAAATAATTCTCATGTAATAGTGAAGACACAGAAGAGTTGCTGGAGGTGTCGGAGGCACACTCCACACATAATATTATTCAAGGTTAAGAGGCGGGTCCAGAGAGCTGAAGTCTAATAAACTCAACATGCACGATTAGGCCAGACTAATTAGGGGAGTATGTTGTTGTTGTTTTAGATTTAGCTACTCAGAACGAAGTGTCCATGTAGCACGGGCTATGGCGAGCCCGTGAAAAGGGGGAGTATACGGGCAAATCTGAAATACGTGAGAGAGAGAGAGAGAGAGAGGAGGAGGTGTTATGAAGAGAGTCAACCTACTTGTTGGCGAGGGGAATCTTGGACCAGTCGTAATCTTCGAGGATCTTGGCCACAGCATCGCTGATCTCCCCGGAGAAGTTCGGGGCGCCGGGCAGGAGGACGGTCTCCACCACGCCGTTATCTCCTCCTCTGCTGGAGATGACGCTCCTGGCCAGGTCTCCGGTGACGGTGGTGGTGGAGGCCGTGGTGGTGATGACGGTGGCCAGGGTGGAGGCGGAGAGGGAGGTGCTGGTCTGTGCAGGTGCGCCGACGCCGCCGACGGACGCCAGGTACGACTTGACAGTCGTCTTGTGGTCGTTGGTGTGTGGTGGTGGAGGGGGACCACCACCGCCGCCGCAGGGTCTGATGGACAGGTCGGGGGCACCGTAACTGCCGCCCCCTCCGTCGCCCAGCAGCGGGGACACGCGCTCTTTTTTCACCGACTCCATTTTCTGGCCGCCCCCTTTTTTGTGGCGGGTCGTCGTCCGTGCGTTCGAGTCTGTCGCTGCACCTAATCCGCCAAGATGTATTCGACCCCCTTCAAACTCGCACTATACGGTGGCTCCGAGCGAGGACCGATAAAAAAAATTAAAACCAGTTGCTTAGGCCGCGAACCGAGCCAGCGAGCGTTCACGTCTCCCCGCACAATGCCACACTTCTCCCCGGAAAACAAAAGAAAACCGTCTCAACCTGTCGGGGAAGAAAGGCTTGAGGTGTGTGTGCAGGAACAATGCGTCTCACAGCACGTGCTGGCTGGCTGGCAGGTTTCACACACGCGCGGCTGTCACGAGCGACTCTGCCCGTCTCGGCGATCACTAAGCTCCCGTTGTCCCACTCAAATAGATTAGTCTTACTTCACTGACTGCTGCCGG